CGCTTTCAGGGTGTTGTTAATTTAACATACACACCTGCAGCAGTTCGCATGAACAGGGTGCGATTCTGATGCAGTGCAGAATTCGCACAGAAACTGCTGCAAATTCCACCATATATTAACCCCAAAGGGAAATTATTAAGATACAGTTCTACTCAATGAAGACAAAATAAAATCACAATAACAAACAAAATATCAATCACCAATATATACAATAACCATGAGTTGAAAATAAAACTTAATAAAAATAAAATTAAAAAATGTAATTCAGTACTGTAGCTTACCATTCTATTTTAAACACTGCAATGAATAAATACCACTGGTTGAATAAATCCAGTTTCAGCTCAAGGTCCACAGGACAGTTCCAGTAAGGCCCCTTTCACACTGGTGGACCAATCAGGTCCGCCTGTTTGTTTTTCAGGCAAACCCTATTGGACTACCCATTGTTCTCTATGGGGAGGTGGATGTAAACGGACATGTGTCCATTAACACCTGCCTGCATCTGATCCAGTCCACCAAAAACAGACGAATCGGAATCCGTTCCCAATTCATCTAGTGCAGTGTAAGTATAAATCAGCACACATATATACAGTCATGGCCGAAATTGTTGGCACCCTTGATATTTCTCCAGGAAATCATGTATTTTCTCACGAAACGTATTGCATTAACACATGTTTTGCTATACACATGTTTATTCCCTTTGTGTGTATTGGGACAAAACAAAAAAAAGGGAGGAAAGAAAGCAAATTCGACATAATGTCACACAAACCTCCAAAAATGGGCTGGACAAAAGTATTGGCACCCTTTCACAACTGCGGATAAATAAGAATGTTACAAGCATGTGATGCTCCTGTAAACTCACCTGGGGCAAGTAACAGGTGTGTGGGCAATATAGAAATCACACCTGAAAGCAGATAAAAAGGAGAGACGTTCACTTAACCTTGCATTGTGTGTCTGTCTGTGCCACACTAAGCATGGACAACAGAAAGAGGAGACGAGAACTGTCTGAGGACCTGAGAACCAAAATTGTGGCAAAATATCAACAATCTCAAGGTTACAAGTCCATCTCCAGAGAACTAGATTTGCCTTTGTCCACAGTGCGCAACATTATCAAGAAGTTTGCAACCCATGGCACTGTAGCTAATCTCCCTGGTCGTGGACGGATGAGGAAAATTGATGAAAGATTGCAACGCAGAATAGTCCGGATGGTGGATAAGCAGCCCCAAACATGTTCCAAAGACATTCAAGCTGTCCTGCAGGCTCAGGGAGCATCAGTGTCAGCGCGAACTATCCGTCGACATTTAAATGAAATGAAACGCTATGGCAGGAGACCCAGGAGGACCCCACTGCTGACACAGAGACATAAAAAAGCAAGACTACAGTTTGCCAAAATGTACTTGAGTAAGCCAAAAGCCTTCTGGGAAAACGTCTTGTGGACAGATGAGACCAAGATAGAGCTTTTCGGTAAAGCACATCATTCTTACTGTTTTACCGAAAACGGAATGAGGCCTACAAAGAACAAAACACAGTACCTACGGTAAAATATGGTGGAGGTTCAATGATGTTTTGGGTTTGTTTTGCTGCCTCTGGCACTGGGTGCCTTGACTGTGTGCAAGGCATCATGAAATCTGAGGATTACCAAAGGATTTTGGGTCGCACTGTAGGGCCCAGTGTCAGAAAGCTGGGTTTGCGTCCAAGATCCTGGGTCTTCCAGCAGGACAATGACCCCAAACATACGTCAAAAAAAGCACTCAGAAATGGATGGCAAAGAAGCGCTGGAGAGTTCTGAAGTGGCCAGCAATGAGCCCAGATCTAAATCCCATTGAACACCTGTGGAGAGGATCTTAAAAATTGCTGTTGGGAAAAGGTGTCCTTCCAATAAGAGAGACCTGGAGCTGTTTGCAAAGGAAGAGTGGTCCAAAATTCCGGGTGAGAGGTGTCAGAAGCTTATTGATGGTTATAGGAAGCGACTGATTTCAGTTATGTTTTCCAAAGGGTGTGCAACCAAATATTAAGTTAAGGGTGCCAATACTTTTGTCCAGCCCATTTTTGGGGTTTTGTGTGACATTATGTCATATTTGCTTTTCTGCCTCTGTTTTATATTTGTTCCATACATACAAAGGGAATAAACATGTGTATAGCAAAACATGTGTTAATGCAATACCTTTTTTGTGTGAAATACTTGATTTTCAGGAAAAATATCAAGGGTGCCAACAATTTCGGCCATGACTGTATATAAAATCCTCAGAAATCCCTTAAAGTCATATCAATATCCTTCCCCTGAAGTACTAATAAAACATATATTCATTGACTTAAACCCAAAAACCCACAATTATAGTGAAAAAAATCAAGACCCAAAGAGATTACCCAAAAATAAAAAATATAAAATATATATAAAAGAACAAAAATAAAATAAAGTCCCAATATGCAAAGTGTCCAAATAATGTCATGCAAAAAAACACTCCAGTGTCACAGCACTCATGTGAAAAGAAAATTAATAAATATCACTGCAAACTATATATAAAGTGCATAATTACCCTAAAACAAACAGATTCCAGCTTGTAATCAACCACCTCTTGTTCCTCAGGACCTCACAAACAGACCAGGAATCAGTATGCGAATTATAATCATATATAAAATTTATTGTAGCCACTTACATATAAAAACGATAAGATCAGCAAGACAGCATCAAACTCCTCATGCCCAGTATACGATCCCCTTTCCGTGTGTAGAGGGTCTCCCGATCACCAGGTAATCCCCCCTTGCTACTCCTATCCAGCACTATCACTTTGTAGCTCTGGGGGACACTTGAAGTGCACCGTTACTCTCCAGACCTCCAACACACAGGGATTCCAGAATCCAAAATGGCTGCCGCAGCACTTCCGGGAACGTCACGTGCCCTGGACGCGTTTCGTCTCTTCCGGACTTTGTCAACAAGGATCAAGGAGTGTTTTTTTGCATGATACACGTGTGGCACTTTAGTTCTGGGATTTAAAAGGTAATATACTATGTTGAGATTTTGTTTTTTGAGGTATTTGAAGAGCACCTGTGATTGATTTGCATCTTCTTCAGTGGAGTAGGAAGCGTCTTCCTATCAAAAAATTGATCTTTGGACACATTATTTGGACACTTTGCATATTGGGACTTTATTTTATTTTTGTTCTTTTATATTATTTTATATTTTTGGTTAATCTCTTTGGGTCTTGATTTTTTTCACTATAATTGTGGGTTTTTGGGTTTAAGTCAATGAATATATGTTTCATCTAGTGCAGTGGTCTCCAAAGTGTGGCCCGGGGGCCAGATATGACCCTTTGCTTGCTTTTATCTGGCCCTTCAAGCACTTTCTCCCACTGATGCATGACACTATTCTTCCCGCTTCCACAAACAAAGGGCATAACTACTGTTGCTGACATCAACAATGGGGCACTATTTCTCCCATTGACACCAATGATTAGGCACTATTCCTCCCCCTAATGCCAAAGATGCATTGTTTACTCCCACTGACAACAGTACAATTTCTTCTCCCAATGGCCACAGTCCGGCCCCCCCTAAAGTCTGAAGGACAGTAAACTGGCCCTTTGTTTAGAAAGTTTGGAGACCCCTGGTCTAGTAGATCGGTTGACAGTCAGATATAAACAGACAAGTGGTCAGTTTACATCCGACGGCCCCATAGAGAACAGCGGTAAGGGCGGACATGAACCTTTCATCTGCCTGCTCAGCGGGGATCAACAGACAGATTCCCCACTGAGCAGGTAGATCTTTTTCATGATGTCTGCCCTGTGTGAAAGGGACCTAAGGGAAAGGTAACCAGTGGTTCTGGACCATTTGCTACATAATCAAAAAGAATGTAGAAGATCCAACATACTAGCACTGTCCCAACCATGGGAGCTTTAAATGATTACTTCTCCTTTTCTGAAAAAGAGAAAAGGTGAAGTGACCCTGTACACCCTCTCCACCCCCCAGTTCCCACTGTACTTACCTCCTTGGTGATGAGTTGTTCGTGCCTAATCCCTGCTCTACTCCATGCACTTTCTGCATGCTTTCGGAATGGAGCAGAACGATTCTCTGGAGGGACAGAGACAGTTCCAAAATGCATATTATTTCAAACAAGGAAATGTATTGTGTAATATGTGCACACTTGTGTATAACTGTAAAAAATCTTTTCTAGAAAAGTCTAGAAATGTAAGTAGAGACAGAAGGCAACATTTCAGGGTGAAGAGGAGAAAAGGATTGATGTTAACAATGAACACGTCATTAAGCCATTGTGATTCAGCACATAGGCAGGGCCTAAAGCAATGAACAAGAAATAATGAGCATACCTTCTTATTCCGGGTACACATGGGCAGAATATTGACTGAAATCAGCCGCTACAGTACAGCTGCCTGTCCAACAGAAGCCAACCTCACGACCAGTTTCTGTCGAATGAGCATGCTAAAAAAAAAGCGTCCAACCGCATCAGATCTGCTCTCTCAGCCAATGGCTGGCAGGATGGGGAAGTGGGCGGGATGATCTGTCAGAACACAATAGCACAGCAGGGGGGGGATTATACAAAAAGTCTGAAGCAATGGGTATGGGCTCAGGGGCTTTGGCTCACATTTTGCACCAGACCTGGATGACTGCTCCATCATCCAGGAGGAAGATTATCACATTTAAGGCTGAACAGGCACAAAAACTAAATATATTTATTTTTTTAAAATATATTCTCTATTGCGAAGAGAAACGGCATAACAAATCATACAGAAAGATCAATAAGCATCAAGCCCATCCCCCAACACGCAGAGACTCTACAGATCCCATAAAGAAATCATTGATATAAACATCTAGATCAGGTAGAGATGAACCACGCCATCCACATCCCCAATAAACACCATTCCTTCCTTAACCACTTGCCTACCGGGCACTTATACCCCCTTCTTTACCAGGCCAATTTTCAGTTTTCAGCGCTGTCATACTTTGATTGACAATTGCGCGGCCATGCAACATTATACCCATATGAAATTTTTACTGCTGGGCACTGACTGGCACAACTGCTGGGCACTGACTGGTGACACTGACTGGCAGCACTGCATTGATGGGCACTGGTGGGTGGCACAGTTGGGTGGCACTGGTGGGCACAGGTGGGTGGTACTGCTTGGCACAGGTAGGTGGCACTTCTGGGCACAGGTAGGTGGCACTGCTGGATGGCACCGTTGGGCACAGGTGGGTGCACTGTTGGGCACAGGTGGGCGGAACTGGTGGGTGGCACTGCTGGCACCGATCATCAGGGCACTGACCATCAATGCCCTAATGATCGGTGCCGATCCCTGCTCTGACAACTGCCGGATCTCGGCAGTACTCTCCTCGCGCTCTAACAGCGTGAGGAAAGTGCAGCCGAGAACCGGCAATTGCGTGTCATTGGACACGGCTGATCACGTGGTAAAAGGCCACTGTGATTGACCTTTTACCACATCACGTGATCAGCTGTGTCCTTAGGACACAGCGTTCACGGAGATCGCCAGGTGCGCGCCCCCGGGGGGCGCAGGAGAGCGCGTTCTGGGAGGACGTCATATGACGCTCTCCCAGAACTGGCCGGCCGCAGTGTAGCCGTCATGCGGCTATCTGCGGTTAGAAAGAAGTTACATTTTGTCCTTTTACCAAAAGCAGTAATAAAACATTTAACCCCAGTAGACTAACGGATAATGAAAAAAGAAAGGAGAAAGAGAAAGGAAGAGAAAAAAAAGGGGGGGTGTAAAGGGGAAGGGATACAGAGGAGAAGGGGGGGGAGTTACCAACCCCTCCGCCCAACCTCCAGGGTACTCCCCCGAGCGATCGCCCCAGACTACCGCAGTATGTGAAGAGTTGCTTCTCCCTAATGGGCAGCGCAAGACTGGGAAGCCAGCACGGTTTGATCTTTGTAGAAGATTTAAATGTATTCTTGAATAGCCACAAAGGTTATAAATTCACTTTGCGTGCACAAGAAGATGCATTTGCATGCCCAGATATTACCTTGTAAGTAAAAGACAAAAGAGTAACTTAAGTAAATCAGATGTGACCGTATGATCCTAAATGTGATATATAAATCAACGAGACAGAGATACAAAAATTAGGTGCAATATCCCTTTAAATGATAACGCACAATTAATGTTAGTGGTGACACCTTGTGAAAAGTATACAAATCATACAATATACCATAACATGTGAATGCAAATTGATATTATAAATAGTCTGGCATCTTTGGTGTGGGAAGCTGACTGACAGCTTCTGGCTTCACAACCTACATGCATGAGCCGCACTGCACTTTGTAAATGGTCCCGCAGCTTTCTGGGACTTGTGACATGGCGATCGGACCGGAAATGGGAGGGGGTACCTCTCTTACTTAAAATGTAAGTAATTTTTTTTCAGGCTTTTATTGTCAGTGTCCCCATTCGCTAAGAATTAAAGTGAAGGTAAATCCAAATATCCCTAATGTAGAAAAATTAAATATATTCTGAATAACCTCAAAGGTTATAAATTCACTTTTTGTGCACCAGATGCTTTTGCATACCCAGATATTACCTTGCAAGTAAAAGTGTAAGTTAAGTAAATCAGATGTGACCGTATGATCGTAAATGTGATATATAAATCAACGAGACAGAGATACAAATATAAATACAAAAATTAGGTGCAAGATCCCTTTAAATGATCACACACAATTAATGAAAGTGGTGACACCTTGTGAAAAGTATACAAATCATACAATATAACAATATACCATAACATGTGCATGCAAATTGATATTATAAATAGTCTGGCATCTTTAGTGTGGGAAGCCCACTGACAGCTTCTGGCTTCACAACCTGCTCCACTGTGCATGTGTAAGCCGCGCTGTGCTTTTGTATATGGTCCTGCAGCTTTCTGGGACTTGTGAAATGGCGATCTGACCGGAAGTGGGAGGGTGTACCTGTCAAAACCAGATTCCTGCTCCCCCCCAAAAAAAACATAAGGTGCCAAATTTTAAAGGGGGGGAGGCAGACAAACAGAACTTCCCTTTTTGGGTGAAGCTCCGCTTTAAGACAGCATTGATCAAACACTTGAAATCTCTTTCTGTTTTGCCATTTATTTCTGGACTGTATTCCCTCTATATAGCATTTTCCCAGCTAAAGGCATCAAGCTTTTTCTCTTCCCCTGTGATTTGCTCTGGCATCCTGTCCAGTGTATGGATTTAACAATTCTCTCAGAGTTCCCATAGAATGGGCCACTTCCTGCTCTGCACAGTCCTGGCGCTGGCTCCCACCAGTGGGGGTCACATGGACTCGATTTCTATTAGTGCAGTGCCCTGTGACTATAGATACCAGCTGCCATTGTTAAACACTTCTGCCTCAATAGATACTGTCAGAGTTTCCTGTATTGTCGCTTGCAACAGTAGAAATTTCAACACATTTTAATTCCTTCCTGTAACGTGTATTTTCTGGTTCTCTGTAATTAATATCGAACAATGATAAATAATATAGAACATCTTTTTCTGTTGGTAGTAGCATTAACGTAAAATGTAAGTAATTTATTTTTCAGGCTTTTATTGTCCGTGTCTCCATTCAGTAGGAATTAAAGTGAAGGTAAATCCTAATCTCCCTCACACTGGAAAGATATCCTCTCATTTCCTGTTGAGTTTACAGGACAGGAGGTGAAGTAAAATCTCCCTAATAAGCCACAAATGGCAGAAATTTTTTTAATTGGTCCTGATGAAGCCCATCGCGAAACGCATTGATGTCACATGTCAGTTACGTCACTTCCGTCACTTTCGGTCAGACGCATTGGCGCCATACACGTAGTCCTGCAGGGGATGCGGAAATACACGCCAGTGCTAGGTGTCCATTAGGCTGCACTAGTACCAGGATGGAAGCAGAGCCCGCTTGCCTCTAGTCCTGATGGTGCCTCCGGGACCATGGGCGTCTATCCATCAATGAGAGAGACTTTGCAAGGCTATCTATCTTTGGCACGGGTTGTGAGTGGATTATTGGAAACTTTCAGAAGAAAGCACGGCACATTATCGCCACTGCCTTGATTTACAAAGTGACAATTACACTGACTTTCTCTATGTCACTAATTTATTACAGGATGAGGACATCATGTTACATGTTCTGAAAGGTGCACAGTACCCTACCTTTACTACAAGGCATGGATACTCCTTTATTCTACATCATAGACTAACAAGGGAGGTACATAGTCCGCATGGTGGCGGTGAAGAATCCCTATATTACATTGGCAGGGCCCTGCCACTTCAAATATACATCGCGGAAGCTACATGGAGATATTACCATGTTCACTAAGTTCTCTTCATTTCATTACATTGGACATGATTGTCTCTATTTGAGATCTTACCACTTTTATTGCCTAATACTGCCTATTCATATCACTATTCTGTGTTTTCGACAGTCAGCAGAAGTGTAATAATACTGCCATATTCTCTCTCTGTTATTTTCCCTGAACGGCTGTTTAGGTTAAGCACTGGGTTCCTGAATCCATCTTATACTGGTACCTATACTTGATATCTTTAGCATTGTATTTCTTTGTTAAGCCATTTGGTACAATTTTTGAAAACATCCCCTACATGGTGGTGTAACCAATGTGTCGGTGCTGCATATGTACTAGACCATATGTCATTACATTTACAGCACTTTCTCTGCAGATGACCGGTCATGACGTCTGTTTTTAATTGGTTTAGGTCATGTTGTATTGTCTCATCTTGCAGTGATGGCTAACTGAGGTATTTACCTAAAATGTCTACACATGCAATTTTGTAATAAAGCACAAGTAATTTTTAGTATCGCTTTCTGTTCATTATGTAACCGCTTTCTCTGTGAATTTTTTCACATCCCCCCCTTTTTTTGGTAGTTTTATATTCCCTTGCTCTATCCATAATGGAAAAAAAATTGCCTTTAAATATACGTTAATATGTTTACATTTTCTGACTTTTATTTTATAGTTTATCTAAAAACATTTTTTCACACAGTGATGTACCATATTTGTATATTCCTGTTCTACATACAGATTTTTTGGTTCTCTAATGGCTGTGTATATATCAGAATAATTGGCATTTTTGCAGGAGAACTTCTATGAGATAATCAGTTGCAAGATAAACCACATAGAGAGTTTTCAAAAACAATGTGGATAGAGCTCAGTCACTGGGATGTCATACAAAGCAAGCATCACAGTCTACAAAGACTGTGGGCATTTTATAGTAAAAACTCTAAAGGTTTTTTCTGTTTGTTATCATAAGCTGCTAAGGTTATTTATATTGCTGACCACAATCACATAGTTCTCTAAAGTTCACCTGTCATCAGATAATTATGTAGGCTACCGTTGCTGAATTCTCTCTTTTTGGGAATGTCAAAATGTATTTAAATCAAGAACAAAAATGTAATAAATTGCACCTTTCAAGCCCTTAGATTTTGTGGCTGCATTCATTTAAAATTTTTTGCAGGCTGTTTTTTTTCTTTATTATCGTTTGGTGATCCTGCCGCTAACACACATCCTATGGGGACAACACTCATAGAGAAGGCCTTCACTGTCAAACGCTGGACAGTGCAGTCTTGCAATTACACCAGGCAGAATGGTCGCAGTGGGAGGGGGTAGATCAGTAGCAGGTCCCATAGGGTGCCTGCACTTTATTAGTAATGTCATTTTATATACTTTGGTGAACATGATAAATTAAGGGTGAACTCCAGGATAAGCAAAATACAAGAAGCATGTTTATTCTTACTTGAATCATGTCGTGTTTTGTGTATTTCTTCCAGATTTGTGCAGTAATCCAGTTTGAAACCTCTGTACAGGAGGTTCCTATAATAAAGACCGGTCACTGCTGCTTTATCAGCTTGTGCAGGGTGACTGGTCTTGTCTCTGCCCCCTTCTGTTGTATTTTGCAGACATTCTGTAGGTGTGTCAGCACAGGCTACGTGCATGGCTCCCAACGTTTGAACTTGACAGAAGGACTGTTTTTAAAGGGGCAGAATGTGGTATGCATGGCACACTGCAGCAAAAAGCAGGTGTAGTCATATGGGTTTTGTTTACAGATATTCCAACAGAAGGAAAAATCCCAACTGACACTGGAAGATTTATCAAAACAAAGACAACTTCAAACAAGAAGGTTTTGTCCATTAAAGCAGTAGGAAAGTCTGCTGTCATTTCTTCTTTTTAGGGGCCCCCAGGTGGGTTATGCCATAGCATATTAGCACATTACAACAGACTTACCTGCCCCCTCCAGCACTGCGTTGTGATCGATCCGGCGGGTCCAGGGAGCTTCCATTTTTGCCGGGTCTTCCCTCCGCGTTCCGTGCCTTAGGCCACTTGAATGGCAGTCCCACACATGTGCAGGGGAGTTACATCGCAGCAGCACAGATCGGGGCCATAAATGTTTACTGAACTGCGCATGC